GTCGCTGGGAGCGCCTGCGGGAAATGGGGCGAGGGAGCCCGGCCCCAGCCGCCGCCGCCTCCTCTCCGCTTCCACCCGCTGCGGTCTGTCGCCAGTGGGGTGAGCAGCTTCCCTTGCGAGACCGAAGTGCGAAGGTCCCGGTGGAGTGGAGTCCGCGGTTCTGCAGAAGAGCAACGCGCGGCCTTGTTCCCGCCAGCGTGCGCATTAAGGAACGGGAGACGTGAAGAGCAAGCTGCTCCACTGAGCCTGTGCGATTGCTTCTGTAGCCCAAGAATTTGAAGTAGGGGAACCTAATCAGGATTTATAGGACAAGACAAGTTGAGGATATGTTTTGTGTTTGCAGGGTTAGAGATCTAGGTTGTAAGCCCATTTGGGCATTGTCTGCCAACCTTTATACCTGCCAAACAGAGAAGATTTAAAAAAAGTAAAAGGTATGTGTGTAGCTATAAAAAAATTTTAGTTTGTCCAAGTCATCTATTCATGAATGTCTTCAGCTGTGTTTTGCTGAAGAGTATCTAGATTAGGCCCTTGTCCTCTGGAGCACAATGCTTTACTATCATGTGTGTTCCCACTGAAGTCTATATGACAACTGAACATCATGAAATGTTGACAAGATCTGGTTCAAGATGATCAGCCCATAAGTGGCAAGGTGCTCTTATTGCAAAGTGCTCTAGTGTGTGTGTATATATGCAATGCGCTTGTGGCATATGCATAAATTCTGCTGCACTTGCTACTGACAATGTCTAGTGGTCAGAATACTAACTTAAAACATTTTGTGGTGGATGGTTTCCCAAAACTTGAAGAAATAATATGTATTCCTATGAATTTAAACAGAAACATGACCTGTGTGCATGCAAGCTTGATTTAGTTGGGACTTCGTTGTTTCACTTAAGTAACAAGATAAATATGTAAATAAATAAAGTAAGAAGATAAATGTGTTCTACATTCTCAGCCTCAGCCAATTATTTATAAAGTTGAGGTACATGCAGGTATGCACAAGCATAAATTCCTAGTAACTTCAGTGTGGCAAGATCACAGATGAGAGCTAGAACGATCAAGCTGCATGGTCTTTGTGGTTGAATGTTTACAGATGTGTACACAAACACACAAAATCAGTTAGGTGCAATTGGTCTAATTGCTTATGAGCAGAAGATAAATCTTTTCATGCTGGTTGCTGACTGAAGAACAAAACCTGTTTACTGAGAGAACGAGAGTGCACCTATTCCGTAAGGGCACTGTCCTGCTATATGCCAGCAACTGTGGAACAGAATGACTCAAAGGCCTGAAACCTGGGGACTGACGGGTTGAGGCACTGCGAAAAGGAGTGCTGTCTTCCATTCCCTCTCACAGGCTGACATTCAGAATGGCTGCAGTGGTAGTGTTGGGAAACACATCAGAAGGATGCACACCTTCACTACAAAATGTGCAATCCTTTAGTTAAAAAGATTTGAAATAATTATTTTGTAGTACAATGATTCCTGCCTGGTTCCTTCTTTTCCGTCACTTCACCGGAGGCGCAAGGGTTTGGAATCTCTCTTTAAACATCCCACTCTCTGCTACAGTGGCTCCTGACAAAAAATGGCTTTGAAACAAGTTTGGGTGTAGTTTTGTGTGTCATGAAAATCAAACTAATCTGTCTTCTCGCCCTCTTTCCATCACCAGTGATTTGATGGAGGTTTTACAAGGAACAAGTTGTCTTTTATGTCTTTAAAATAATAGAAAAACAACCTCCAATTTAATTTAAAAAAAAATCTGTCAAGCCTGAAGGGTGAGCATGAACCAACCAACCTTTCCCACTGTCTTCCAGGGACTCTTCACTTAGTTCAGAGGAAGTTTCCCATTTTACATCGTGATTCTTCTTTATGGGAGGGTTATTTTCATTCTCTGTTTCTCAGACCTTTTCCTGTAGATGGGAACGGGGGAAGGAGCCCAGACGTGGCAACACATTCTCAGGCTCCTGCAGGACCACCATGGCTTATGATGACTCCAAGAAGAAAGAAGGTATGACTGCTTCATAATCTCAGAGGGAGTTGCCAAAAGAAAAGGGTACCCTCTGCAGCCCTTGCCAGGCCATGCAGTCAGAGTGGGAAAGGAAGCTAGTCTGCTGTGGAGCCCTTAAATTCAACCTGGCCAAGTTGCTAGAGGATCCCAAGCCCTTGACTTCCAGGTCACTTGAGAAAAATGGGTGGTATTTCCTAATGCAAACACCTTGATTGGAAACTCTGCCACTGCAGCCTTTCTTATCGCTGTCAGGTCAATGGAACAGGAGACCAGGGATAGGGGTGTGTTTAGTCATGGTAACATTTCTAGGTTCAGTTCTCTTTAGGAAGAAATATACAAGGGTTACAAATGAAATCTAGAGTGATTGTGTTACAGCATTAGAGCAGTGAGGCCCATCCCTGTGGTCAGAGAGTACACATTGTTATCTTTTAGGCCCCTGTGATTGTTGGGTTTTGTTCATCACTCTGTACCAACATCTTATTTTGTGCATAGTCCACATGTCTATCATTCCTTAATGGAGTATTTAATTTCTTCCTTTTTTTCCCATGTCACGAAACTCTTAGAGTTCCTAGAGAGTGACCGAAGTGGTGATGACTCGGGGCTGGCAACTGGCAGGATACAGCGAGAGAAAAAGCGCCCTTACAAGGATCTGCTGCAAGAGGAAGACGAGATAGCAACTCAGGTCAGGAAGCCCTCAGAGAAAAGGTTGAAGGTATAAGAATATGTGTAAAGCTAGTAATGGAATGGGATGGATGGGTTTCTTGTTCTTTTTTATATAGAAATGCATGTAGAAAACAGCAAGAGCAGCTAATTTGTTCTGTATTGTTCAGTAACTTTCCTGGGGAAAAGGAGGGTGTCAATCCCAATTGCAACTGATTCTGATTTTTCTGGCCTCAGAAAACAGGGTAGGAGGGTGCTATCCTAGTCTTGGTGTAGAGCCTTGCAAGTCATAAAATAGCATGAATAACTTCTTACTCAAAAAAAGTTTTAGAATTTATGGTTGTATAAATAGCCAGCAAAGCTATTTCAGCAAAGGATGAAGATAATGTTAACTGATGCGCTGTTGTCTTCCTGATTCTGCAGACAGCCTGAATCGATAGCTCTTGAGAGGTATGAACTTGCCCTATTCACCTCTTTGGGGCCTTAACTCTGAAATCATGTAGTGACAACTTAAGTTTCTTCAAAACTTTCCTCTTTGAGCTAAAATTTCTGCTGTTAGCTCAAAGGTGACTATCTTGTGATTGTTTTTAATTTTTTTTAATCTGGAAAAGAAGTTCTAGTTTAAAATTAAAATCTTCTACCATGCAGATGGAATTCTGTAGAGGAGCTTCATTTTCAGACCGTAAATTGGTCAAGAGACAAATAATAATTGGGTGACATGACATATTAAGGTCAATTTTTTGGCCCATAGTTTTAATTGTCACCTCTCTGTACGTCCTTTCACTTCTCAGCATATCAAACATGAACTGCTCACCTTCATTTTCAAGGCTTGACAGCCTATGCATGCTTAGTTGTTTCTTAGCTTTATTAAGAGGTAGATGTCTGTCTTTTATCAACTCATCAGCTGATCTTCAAGTGCTGGCTTTCATTGCCTGTTTCTTAACACTTTCAGATGTGCTTTTTCAAGTCTTCTTGTGTATTGCTCCTGTCAGTTGGAGGGAGCTCCCTATAGAGATCTGTCTTTCAATTTCCTTATAGCCCTCTTGTGCTGCAGTGCCTACAGAAAGCTTGATGCCAGTTAGGTGGCTGATGTGCTGAAACCAATCCCAACTAATACCATTTTTTGTGTTCTCCCACCTATCCAAACCATGCTTTTTGTCTCTTACCTTAAACCTCCACTGTGGGCTCTTGGGGACAGAGGTGTGTTTCCTCTTTGCTTGTTTTAGCACCTAGAACAATGATCCTGGTTCATACCTAGGGTTCCTTGATGTTACAGTAGTACAAATAACTTTTGATATCTCCTACAAATTACTCTCTACGTCAGTAATCCATGTGAATCTCATATTGTTTCCCTCTTGTTTTCAGCAACTTTTTTCTTCTTATTCTAGGACAGTGAGCATTTTCCAGGGACAGAACCTCACAAAAAGAAGAGAAAGCACTCCTCCGATGAGTTCTGCTACAGAGGTAAGATAGTAATCGGGCAGGGGAAGGAGCTAACAGATCCTGGCTGTGAGGAAAGGATGCTATTAAACCAGTGTCATCAAGCTTTGTGGTTAGCACTTTATGGGGGGAAAGTACATCAACCTGTTTTAGGACAAGTAATCAGAAACCTGATGCTGATCAGCACCAGACAGCAAAAGATTGGGGAATGATATTTCAGAGTCTAGCTTAACAAGTTGCCATTGTTGTGGGTAGAGATCTTCCAACCTCCTTTTCATTGACAAGTTGCCCTTCTGGCATTTGCATTTCTTTTTTCCCTATTGCATTACAAACTGTAATTTTATTTGCAGATAGCATTACTTTCTTTGAATTTATCAACATAGAATGCATCAGGGTGAAAAATAAATGCATTTGGGTTCAGTTTAAATACAGAAACATTATTCCCACAATTAATAAGCTGGCCAGAAGGTGACAATTCTGTTCATAAAAACCTAACAGATTAAAGATTTATTTTTGACCCAATGAAAAAAGAAAGCCAAGCTGAAATTTCATCAAAATCTGTTTTCAGAATGAAAAAGCTTGTATTTTCAATTCATTTGTCTCACCTTGGCTAAAAATGGCATGAAAACCTTGCAATTGAGATGTAATTTCAGGCTCAGTAAGATACATTTTAATCAAAATATGTTATTTCACAGTAGAATACAGACTTCGACAAAACTTCAAGAACTTACCTCCTCTGTATTTCTGCCTTAAATTATTTGACCAGCTTGGATGTTACAGCTCCTGAATTGTATCAGTAAGGCTGTGCTGAGCTGACTACAAGCTGCAGAGATGTAAATCTGTTAGCTGTAATCATAAGTCTTGCAGGATTCCCACTTCTTTGGGCTAGTGTAATGCTGTCTTTAAGGGTATCATCTTGATGTACATTTCTCTTTATCTTTTTCAGGTGTTTCGACTTTGGATCTACCATCAAAGAAGAAGAAAAAAGCAATTTCTAGCCCATCCTCAGCTGATACAACCATGGATTTACTCAAGGCTATCACCTCGCCTTTGGCCACAAGCTCAAAGTCTTCAAAGAAGACCTCTGAAAAACCATCTTATTCTTCTTCTGGCCATTCTGAAAGCAAAAAGGAGCACCACAAGAAGAAGCTGAGTGGGAGCAGTGGGGAGCACTCAGTGGACGATGGCAGCTTCCACAAATCTAAAAAAATGAAACCACTGTACGTGAACACAGAGACACTTACTCTTCGTGAACCTGATGGCTTGAAGATGAAGCTCATCCTTTCACCAAAAGAGAAAAGTAGTGCAGCAGATGATGATTCTTTCTCCCACTCTTCAGCACCAGCAGCTGCAAAGAAATCTTCAAAGAAATCAGCTCGAGAAGAGCAAGGCTCATTTCTTCTAGGTCATGAACTGCAAAGCTTCCTGAAGTCATCTCGGAAGAAGCACAAACCACCTCCGGACCCACATCCACCTTCTGAGAGTTTTGGTGCTGAATCCTCCATTTTTTCAGAGGGCCATGGGAGCGAGTATGAGATTTCAGGTATGGACCCGCCACCAGAATCTGGTTCCTCTTCTGGTGGGGAGTTGGAAGCTGGAGAGCTAGTGATAGATGACTCCTACCGGGAAATGAAGAAGAAGAAGAAGTCAAAAAAAAGTAAGAAAAAAAAAGACAAGGAGAAACACAGAGAGAAGAAGCACTCTAAGTCTAAAAAGAGTTCTGGGCATGCTCCTGTGGCAGTAGCAGAAGTAACAGTGTCACCACCACCTCCTCCCAGTACCCCCTATGTTTTTTCTCCACCTCCTTCTGCTGTTTTTCACTCAGATGGTCAAGGTGAGAAGAGGAGGAAAAAGGAAGACAAGGAGAAGGACAAAGCTGAGAAGTGGGAAAAGGAAAGAGAAAAGGAAAAGGAAAGAGAAAAGGAAAAGGAAAGAGAAAAGGAAAAGGAAAGAGAAAAGGAAAAGGAAAAAGAAAAGGAAAGAGAAAAAGAAAAGGAAAGAGAAAAAGAAAAGGAAAAGGAAAGAGAAAAGGAAAAGGAAAGAGAAAAGGAAAAAGAAAAAGAAAGAGAAAAGGAAAAAGAAAAGGAAAGAGAAAAGGAGAAAGAAAAGGAAAGAGAAAAAGAAAAGGAAAGAGAAAAAGTAAGGAAAAATTGGAGGGAAAATAGAATTTGGGTGATGGGTAACGGTGAATTAGTCACTCCCTTATAAAGGCATGTTAAATTGAAGCAGAAAGATAACTAATACCAGGATTGATGGTTTCACTGAAGCACGTCTGGAAAAATGTGTCAGCCGCTGTGATTTCTGTTTGTAGCAAAAGGAGTATTTATCATTCTGGTTTTGTGGCACAGGCAGTCTTTAGCCAATAGAGGTTCTTTGAAAAGCTTATGCTTAATTTGCTTGGTACAGGTTATGTACCAAACACAATTGCATCATTTCCCAAGGTAACCAGTTTTAGCTATTGGCAGGCAGACTTTTGGACTAGTGATCTAGTCCATCAGCACAGTTCCTGTAAAAAGAAATTGAGCTCTAATGTGAAAAACCCATTTACTCCTGTATTCAAATGAAATTGTAATTCCTAGAGAGTACCACATTCTCAGTTTTGTCCTGTACTCATAAACTCAGTTTTCCATGGTTTATCAAACTATGAGTAGGAGAAATGGTGGCTAGCGTATGAATGAGTTTACAGGTTATATAACTGTAGCTGTGTAACTAGATAAATGGGGAAAAGCAGTCTCTCTGTGTTTGGATAGACAAGAGTTGCTTTGTATCAGGAAATGGGCTGATGTAGCCCAAAGTCGTTCAGCCATTATTTAGTTCTATTTGGTAAGTTTTCTCTGATCATAGCTCGTCAACCATTTACGCTTCTGCTGTTGATGTACTTAACACTGTCTATTTTCCTGCCAATTTGAATTGTTTTGTAAGGATGCAAGGAATGGAACAAACATGATGAGGACTGAATTGTTTTGACAGATCTGCAATAGGTACTGTGAATAGTATGACAGAGAAATTTTTTTATTAAGTTTTAAAACTGAGATACAGTAACAGAGTCGTATGTTGATCCTGGATTTAGAATAGCAGGTGGTTGTAACTTATGAATGAAATGCATTGATAGAGTTGTTGCAAGATAAGCCTCGCACTAAGGCTAGTTCTGGCGGGTTCCTGTATAAACACTAAATTCAGCCAGAACATGTAAAACACTGCTTTTTTAGGCTCCTGATCTAAGCACCACATCTTGTCTTTAATTCTTCAATAAATGCCAAATTCTTATTAAATTTGAGTATGTCTCATCATAATTGAAAATCTTTGTTTCCTTTTCTTCTTTTGACTAGCCAAAGAAGAAAAACATGTCTGCCTATCAAGTGTTCTGTAAGGAATATCGTACAACTATTGTGTCTGAGCACCCTGGAATAGGTGAGAAAATAATTTAGCGTTCTCTTCTCTTGATTCTACGCCAGTTGGATCTGTTTCATACTAACCTCTTAATTTTGACAGAATGCAAAGAATCTGCCAATTTTCTTTGAATAACAGATGGCAAAGGGGACAGGAGTGGATTTCATTATTTGATTTCATTGCAATTTAGCCAAGCTGTGAACCTGGATAAAGAAATTGCTAGCTCTTTCTTTACTTAAAGGGTTACCTTCATTGTGTCACTTTCACGTATATAGACATATGACTTTATATTCCCAGTATCAGCTTTTTTCTTTTTAAACAGTAATGGAAATGCACACTGGCAGTCATTTTCAGGACAGAGTGGAGAATTCCAGTTGTGGAACAGGTTGCTTCCTAAATATCTATGTGTGGGCCAGTAAATTTCCTATGTTCTCTCCATGATCTTATGATTTCATTTATTTTAGACATTTTTCTTCTTTCCTTCTGTCAGATTTTGGAGAGCTAAGTAAAAAACTGGCAGAAGTGTGGAAGCAGCTACCTGAGAAGGATAAACTGGTGAGTGTGTGTGAGATGTTTTTGTAAAATGATTTCTGTAAACTAGGTGCTTAGGTCAGAACATGCTGGCAGCATTGCCACTATACCTTGAAAAATTCTACCTATGTCCCCAAAGCATGTAAAGATGGAAAGTATGGAAACCTTGCCCTTGCAATCGTAAAGAGCATCCATTTTCTTCTTGTGGTATTGCTTCACCAGTTAGCTATGTAACATCATTCTGCCTCCAGGTCCTGGCATCAGGTAACAGAATTACCTAATGTTATGAATCTCTTTTCATACCATGGTAACTGCAGATCTGGAAACAAAAAGCTCAGTATCTCCAGCACAAGCAGAATAAAGCAGAGGCCACCACTGTAAAGAGAAAGGCATCATCTTCAGATGGTGCACCAAAAATAAAAGGTAATTGTTGCACTTTATTTGCTCTGGTTCTTTTTTCTTGGACGGGGAAGATAGCGTAGCCTGCGGAATAAGGAGCAAAGGTCCTTTCCCACTTCACACCCCTACCTGCTTTCTCACAAGGCTTGACATTTAAATCATCATGTTACTCAAAAAACAATTTTTCTGTGAGAGCGAGAATGATGTCAGCATTTTTCAAAAAGATTTCCTTGTCTAATCTGTAGAATGGTATTGTTGTTAGCAGTTTAGGGATTGAAATGTAAAACAAGAAGAGGCAGCAGGGAAGTTCTAGTGGGATTAGTTTGCTGCCTGAGGAAAAAGGGTTGTTCTTGTCTTGTCATCTCTGTTTATCAAATCTCCCAGATTGCATTCAGCTAATGTAGATGATTTGTATATGTAGAAGGAAAAGCTTTGACTGCAAAGACCACAGGACCAGTCCACAGAATTATTTAAGCATTTTATGCCTTTGAGATTTGAACTTTACTAAGTAAATAGGCTTGTAAGTAAAAAAACGAAATAAGAGACTATGGAATTTTAATTTGTGTGTTTCCAGCTTCTCCAACAGGAGTGATTTCCCCTCATAAGAAATCCCCCACCAGCACCGTAGTGGTGTCTTCCTCACCAGCTAAAGTTCCTGAGACAGATCCTATTGATGTAGCTGCACACTTACAGTTACTGGGTGAATCTCTGAGCCTCATTGGACACAGACTGCAGGAAACAGAGGTGAGTCTGTAACCAGCAATGTCACAGTGATGTTGTGTCATCTACACACAGGATTGGAGGGGATTATTTTATTTTACTCAGAAGTTCAACCAGTGCTTTTCTGTTAGGAAGAGAATTGAGGGATGGTGTGTCATGTTTCTTTGATGCATTGCTCTTTGTTTTCAGTGAAATAAAAAGCCTTGTTTCTCAGTAAGCAGTAGGCATTAAAGACAGACAGGTCCTTTGCAACTCTAGGTCCTAGAGTTCAGCAAACTCTTCATTCTTTTCTTACTATATGTTCACCTTGGATCTGGTACTTCCTTGCTATCTTTGCCAGTCTCTGGTCCAGTTTCTGTTGGTGTCTCAAGCCTTCATAGAAAACCATCAGCCTTTACTGAGATGTTTTTTGCATGTCCTGTTGTTTTCTGGCAATATCATACTGCCAGTGCTTTTGGATAGGTGCTACTATTGTTTCAACTTACCTGGTAACGTAGAAGTTGTCATATTTTAATGGTTTCCTGCTGTTTGATGATAGTGATTCTATGCATGCACACACACAGCACTTTCAGAACTTGGCCCAGCCTGTAAGAAGAACACACATTTGCCTCAAATAAAATTGATTTTTACGGCTAGTGTGATCATCTCATCCCACTGTGCTTGCTTGTTTTATCAACAGTAAAGTAAATGTTCTTGCATTTTGTTCCTGATATGACCGATTACGGTCATTTTTCAAAGGAACAACCAGAGTAAAAACTCTCTCTTTACAGAAAGGCACACAATTTCCCTTTCCTCAAAGTAACACCAATGACTAAAGCATTTGTTACAGAATTAGCATTTTTCTAGTCTTTAATAATAAAACAACTATTGTCTTTAGGACTTGTGTAGTTAACAAAATAGATGGTACAAAATGGCAAAGAAAATTACATTACAAAAAATTGTGGAATTAGGTGTTTTATGCAACTGATAGCTTTCTGACCTTTTCTGTTGTTCCCTACTTTTTCCTACACCAGTATGTTGCCCACTGAATTTTTAAATTTTTTGAGCCAGCAGGCTCTCTGTGAAGCACATGGCACAGTTTTGTTACTGTGTAAATAATGAAAGTGGGCTAGAGGAGCTCAAGAGTGAAGATACTGTATCTGCATGAGATCAATACAGTTATGAAAGAACCATAATTTCCACTACTCATCCCTATCCAATTTTTTCTTTCCTTACTTCCAGGGAATGGTGGCTGTTTCAGGAAGTTTGTCAGTACTTCTAGATTCAATCATCTGTGCTTTGGGCCCGTTAGCGTGTCTGACCACACAACTACCTGAGTTGAATGGCTGCCCTAAGCACGTTTTGGTGAGTTCCTTGTGGTTATTTCCATTCTAGCACTGTTAATTTCAGTAGAATCCAGATAGAGTTGTTTGATCAATCAGTCTCATGATGTGATTAGAAACCCAGTGCAATAAGAAAATCGTCTTGGTCATAAACTTCTATAGAGAAATATTTCCTTGAAATTCCTTCAGATGCTACTGTTGTACAATATTGTGCAACTTTTTTCTCCCAGTGGCAACTGACCTAATATTTGTATCATTGATTGCAGTGTGTATAGGTCCTGTTTTAGTGACTGAATCAATCCATCTGAATCAAACAAAAGCGCCTGTGCATATACCACTATTTTTGAAAGTTCTAATTTTCCATAAAATTAAAAAGCACCTTCTAGCTGTTTTGTATCACACAATTATTTTTCTTTTAGTAGCATAAAAAATAACTTGTGACCTTAGGATTCCTAATGTGATTGAGTAGGGCCTTTTACATGTGGCTGTAACCTTCTCCCAGGAAAGAAAAATAGTCTCTGTTTTAAGGAACTGCATAACTACAGGTTCTTTTCCACTTTTTAAATGACAGTTAATATTGAGCCTCGATTTAGCAACAGCTTGTGGCATCTATGTAGCATAATGTGGACATAGATTAAGATGGCAGCAGCGTAAAAGGAAGCGGGAGCCATACCTCCAACAGAGGACATGAATAAAAGAGCGAAGGAGAAGAGCAGAAATTAAAAGTAAATCTATAGTCTGCAAAAGTTATGAGATTAAAAACAACTCTAGCAGAGCGAACAACAAAAATGGGATATGAATTGGCATGTTACAATAGGGCAGCCCAAACACTGATCATTCTGAGAACCATCTATTAACAATGACAACAAAGTTGACAGCTTAGGCTGTGAGCTCCGACAGACTGGCTGTCTGCACAAAAGCTGAGTCAGTGGGGTGTTCCCATCTTAAGCCATGGAAAAACATCATATGCTTTTTTTCCTTCTTGCTTGCCAAGTGCATTCAGAGCAGTGACACCACATGACTGATGGTGCGTGTATTGGAAACTTGATCAACTTATTGTTGCAAAGAGCAATGGAGTTTTAGGTGAACTAAGGCATTTACCCTTCACTTCTGAAAACTGGTATTCAGACTTGATAATAAATAAATTATTATGATTTTTACCACCAGATACATAACGACAGTGATGTTTTAAGACACGGAAAAAATTGACAGTGGTCGTGTTGTATGTAGAATGCAATTTATCTTTTCAGTCAGTAGGTGGCATTGTTAAATTCTAGAATCACAACTGGTGCAGATCCAGCACCTCTATCTTCAGCCGTTAAAAGGTGGTATTCCTAAGGCCGCCTTCAGCCACCCAGCCACAGGCTTGAGCTTACTGAAATACTGCATTTGAAGAAGACACAGATAATATACTGCTGGATCTTGTTTTCTGATGTGCACAAGAAGGACTTTTACTCTCAGAAGTCTATTACATTTTGCAAGGAAAACCGGAGGGCACTTCTTTTTCCCATCTGACACTCTACTAGTGGCTGTGTTTAAGCATTTTTCTCTTTACTTTTACACTACAGAATTTCGTAAGGGACTTGTGAGTGTAAAGTCAAGTTTTGGGTTTTTTTTGTAAGCTACAACTTTGATTGCTTTGCTCAAGTCCTTCATCACTGGTCTTCCTCTGGTTGATGTGATATGGTCGATGTGGCTTGTTCCAAATTCAGAGATAAAGTATGGGTTTTGTAAGGATGAGGTCACTTGAGGAAAGCCACAAGCATTTTCATTGTTTCCAGGCACTTACAAATACTGAGGCTGCCTTTATATTTAGTTAACTTACATTTCCAAAAATGTGAAAATAAACCTAGCAGTGGTGGTGGTGATGACTAGGCAACTTTGGTTGTCTCATCATATGATGACATGTAAGACAAGTGAACATGCTTAGTACCTTCATCTGTGTCATTTTTTAAGAATTTTGAGTCATTACCTGACACTGAGAAATACTGAATTTCTTTTCCCAGTCAAACACACTAGACAACATCGCCTACATCATGCCTGGACTTTGATGGGAACAGATCCTGGGATGTACTCAACCTCTGCGTAACTGACTTGTGTACCTATGCACTACACCGGCACTCCTGAAGGGTTCCATGTGTAGGGTTTTAAAGTTTTATATCTGTATAGTATATACATAGGATTATAACTATTTGACTTCTACTTTATGAAAAGTTGTGAAGTTAAGCTGAGAAAAACCGTTTTGTGTTGGTGGGTAAAATGTCCTCCAATTGGAAAGTATTTTGTATGAAGAATTCAGAAAGCTTTTGACATACTCGCCTTAAATTCAGATCCTTTAGTGGGGGAAGCAGCCAGAGAATGGACTTCTCGATATAAAGAAAAAAATGTCACCATAAGAGGGGTCATTGAAACAGGTGGCCCAGAGAGGTTGTCGACTCTCCATCCTTGATGATACTCAAAAACTGAATGAGCAGCCTGCTCTAGTTGGACTTTCTTTAAGCACGGGGATAGACCAAATGACCTCCTGATACCCCTTCCAGCATAAAGTATTCTGATATTCTGTGAGCAGGTAGAGTTGATAATATATTTTGGACAAAGGAATAGAACTAACTCTTCACTAGCCCTATTTCTAACTGGTTTTCAGTTTAAAATTTACTGCTTGAGGGGAAAGATGGATAGTTGATCAAAGATACAGAGGTCTTTGCCTCTTGGTCACTTCTTCCAACTCCCCTCTTCAGTCAGAAATAACTGAAAGTTGTCAGCGTCTGCTGGCTGGCCTGGTAGCTGGCATTTGAAGTGGAAGATGACAACGAGTTTAATCTTTTCTTGGGGACTTGCACCCAAATCATCATTAGCACGATATATCAACCAACTTCATTGGCTTGAGAGGATGAACCTCCTGCTGATTTTTCCAGGGCATGATCAGCCTGCTTTGATGGAGAGGAGCGTGGAAGCAGATGGGAAAAACTTGGATTGCTTCAGCCCATCTTGCACCTCTTTTGTGAACCGTGGTTTCTGAGATCGCTCATCCCCCATCTTTTCCACCAGCAGTATTGAAAGAGCCATGGTGCTGCTGTCAGGCAGTGACTAATGACCAGTTTGAAGCAGTTATGGCCAAGTAAGGCACATGTGGGTTGATAAGACCAATTCCCCTTCCTTCCAGCCACATACTTGGTGTTTGGTTTTCTGCTCCTGTAGAAGAGGAGCCTGAGGAGAGCACTTGATTCTCATATAGGCTTTTGTGTGTCTGTATGTACTTGTATGTGGTGTTCATATCATATGTATTTAACTTTTACCAATATCTGTAACAGATTTTAATTTATCCTGTATATTTCTCTGTGTGTGTGCGTATATATATATATATACATAATTTAAAAGCAAAAATCCCTCCCTCCACCAACTGTGTGGAAAATAGGAAGCAAGTTTGCCTCACCCCACTTCCTGCAGGAGTCGGCTATATGTGCAGTAGTAAGCATTGGCATTGCATGGGGAAGCACCAGAAGATTTTAAGTGTTTGTAGAAACAGGCTATCTTGTGAAGGTAGATAGAACAACTGAGATATAATTTGACTCTAGCCTTTCCAGCCTTAGAACATAAAAGTTTTAAAATGACAGAAGAGAACTTTTTTACTTCCAATCTGAAGTCTAGTTGCCGTTTTTCAGGGCAGTTGAAAGGGAGCAGTCCTGCATTGTGGCTGAGCCCCAAATCACATTTAGGTTAAATCCTCGGGTGAGCAGGAGGGTTTTTCTCCCCATTCCTTTTTACTATGTATTCCCCAGCTGTGTCTGTACAAGGCAGCCTGTCTCTTAGGGAGCTTTTCTCAGTGCAGTGTTAGGTTTTCTGGGTCAGTTAGTGGAGGAGGCAGAAGGTTCTCAGACTACTGTACAAGTTCTCAACGCAAGCCTCACACCACAGCATACATGTTTTAACAATATATGACTAATCCCAGTGAGCCTTGCATTGGGAAGGGCCCAGGAGGGCGGGCAGTCTGATCCTGCTTGGGATCCTGGCCCGTACTAAAGCATCTGCTGTTGGGAGGGGCATGAAATCACTGGCTCTTTCCAGCCCTTAGAGCATTGTGGCGAAGCGGTAGATCTGCTCTCTAAGGAACAGAAGGGGATCAGCTTTAGCTTTGTTGTCTGTGCAATGGAAAACTCTTGAAGAGTTTGAAACACACACACAACCCTGGTGTATTGTATTTTTATTTTAAATTTGTACACTTTGTATAATCTGTATCTTGTGGTATTTGGTACTAGAGGGAAAACTTTGGCAAGACTTAGTGGGTTTTATATTTTTGTTATTTCCTTGCTGTTTGATCCAGATTACATCACAATTATACAAAGAAACTTTTTTGTACTGTACTTACAATATAATTGTTTTTTAACGTTTGGAGTATTGTCACTCATTTCTGGCATGCATTGTCTTCTGCAACCCTTGTTATGATTAGCATTTAGTGTTTCTCAGCGAAACCCATCCAACGTTAAACAACTCGCTCAGTTTGCAGGCAAAGCTACACTGTTCCCAGTAGCACAGTTCACCCAAAACATCGCTCAAAACCTGCTGCCCATTTGGGGACCTTTCTGAGGGGAGACACGCCATCGAGCACCGTCAGTAGCATCGGGGCGTTTCTCTTCCTCGCCACCCGACTTCGATTCAGGTTGGTGGCATTAAGGTGCAAAAGGTACAAGGGCTCGAGGCGAGCGCGTTAATGTGGGACGTCAGGCGGTCGGTGGCGGTTTGCACTGGTTATTAACACCTCCCCGTTTCCAGAGCCTGAGCGTTGGTCGATGGTAGCGGCGGCTCGGGCAGAGCGAATGCTCAGGCCGGGAGGGTGCTGCAGAGCTCGGCACCTGCCTAACCAGCCCCACGCAGGGCTACGGAAGACCAGGAAGCTCGCTCTCCACGGGCTGCCGTGTGTTTGGGCGTCAGCCCCGGCTGGCGGCTTTTCTGC